TCACAACCCACCCCAGCAAGCTGTGACTCTTTAGTCATTTACACATGTATAAAGAGGGTATAACCTCCTTCTTCTCCTTGATGAAGTTTTACATCTACTTGTCAAAGGTATAAATGATTCCACAAGGCTTGAGGCATTGAATACTCATGGCCTATATATTTCTTATTAGCTATTACCATATCTAAAAAATATTTTATTAATTTGACAGACTTTATTAGTACAGAGGTTAATTGCCTTTCTCTGACACATTTTCACTGCCTACATCTGTGTCATAACACTGTTTGCTTCATTAGTTTTTAAAGTGGAACAGCTAAAACTCAGGTTATTGAAACAATAACACATCTACAACCTCGCTCCTGTACCACACTGCTCACCATTCAGCTGATGAATCACCTGTATTTCAGGCAAAGCTGGCCTAGCGTTTGGACGAACGCCAGGAAAACAGGTCAGTGTTATCAGCTGTAGGCACTGCTAGCCCTTTTCATTTCCCTTGCCATCTTCCAAAAATAGCTCTTTCCTGCAACAAGGTATTAGGAGTTAGGATGACAGCAGCTGAAGGATTCCTTTCTCTTTATCGGGGAGCCTTGCTTCTCATTGCACCGATTTTTCAAAGCTTGATTTGTGGTTTTAGCAAGACGTAAGATTTGGCTAGAAGTTTTGTTCTCCAGGCCATTACTCAGAGGCTGCACGTTGGTGCCGACTGAATGATTAAGTAGGAAAAAAAGGATTAGCTGTTTGTGCTGAAAAATCACCAGGAACCTCAGACACGCACCAGCACCTATTGATCAAAGGACAAAACAGAAACATGGGTTTCCCACCACGAAAACGTGCCTGTCCCAGTGGAACAGCTCTATCTTGCAGCCCATGCTCAAGAAACATCAGTCGGTGTGTCCGAAGTGCCAGCACGGCAGCCTGCTGCATGCTGGCCACGGAGAGAAGTGCTCTGAGGACACGAGGAGCAGCTCACAACCCAATTAAGGCCCGTAACAGAAAGCAGGCACCCAGAGAGCACGAAGGAGCAAGCAAACAACACAAACCTAGCACTGCCTGTTTTTTAAGGTTGTGCAGGATCAGCTATGGCTGTGTCTCCTACGGCAGGGGTGGATGTAAAGCTCTCAAGCTATGGATGAATGTCTGAGCCACACAGAGCACATCCTTTTCCTCTCTGTCCTAAAAGGGTCGCTGTGCACAGCTCACTGCCCAACCCAGACATGCGTTTGATATCACACAAACCACCACCCTTCGCCGCCGGTGATGAAATGAATTTTAGCCCCCAGGCTTCTCCCCGTTAATGACTTCCCTGTTATAGCCCACCTTCATCTCTGCAGCTACACGGGTTTGGCACCCAGCTTAATGCTAGCTGAGTGTTAACACTGTGGCCAGAAAGCACCTTCAGACCCCAGGACGAGGCGATAAGGCCAGCACGAGCAGCCTGGCAGCTACCACCCCGCGCCGCCTGGCCTCCCCCCTCCACTCTCTGCAGAACAAAATCACCGAGTACAGTGCACACAGGCAAGAAACATAATTACGCACACACACTATCTTGAGCCCTTCATAATTACATTTTAAATTGGTTTACTCGGAATCCTTTCAGCTAATCATTTTCACCCAACTCTAATCAACTCTAAGCACTAGAATAAATATAACAGCATCTTTACCCGGTTTTGCCCCTCTGTTCTGCCTTAAGCCCCCACACTCCAGTTTGTTGGGCTCTGGGAATTTGAACATGGCCAGTTTTAGGTTCAGCTTTCATTATTAGCAAGCACCAGGCTTTGCTTCCAAGCCACCGAAGCTTGCTGGCAAAATTCACACGTGCAAACCAGTGGCAGTTTCCGCCTCTGTGGAACCCCACAAATGTTTTCTTCACTTTCAGTTCCCGTGCCTCTGGATATCTTATAAATACACTGCTGAAAGAGAATTCAAAAACCCAGTGCAAATGTACGCCTGCTTCTCATACAAAGTCAGCAATTACCCTGCTTTGCCTTAAAACTGAGCCTGAGCCAAGGGTGGCTAAGCTCAGCCTGCACCGAGGGAAGAAGATCACAGCTTCTTACCTGCTATGCGAATGTTCCTACACAGACAACTGTAAAATCTGCATTTTCATGAACAACTCAGCATTTCTCTGAGTTCCTTCTCATCTGCAGCTTGCATTCACAGTTTAGGATAGGAGGCTTCAAAATTCATCCCTAGGTACCTTCAGCTTGACTCACCAGCACTATGCATTTCCTATGTCCTTCTGTCTGTCTTTCAGTACACGACCAGTCTCTCTCCTTTACCTCTGTGCATGCCCTGTGTTGGCTGCAGCCCCACCTGCATGGCAAAGCACAGCTCCTAGCAGGCTGCTGGTACAAAACCTTCAGGGCAGCAAAGAAGAAGGGCAGGCATTTTCCCTTGGTTCACACGCATCCTCGGTAACTCTCTCAGCAGTGCAGCAGTGTGAATGCAGCAGCCCTCAGCAAAGCTTTAATAGCAAAATTGAAGGTGTAAAGCTTCATTACTTTTAAAATATACCACCTAGTTCTGCATATTCACTGGTGTACATGCTGCTCCGTCTTACAGCATGGAGCACTTCCCAGCCGCAGAGCTCAGAGCTTTATTCATACTGAGGAATTAAAGTTTCCCAGAACTCTGTAAGGCTGGCTACTATTTTTAGTTTCTCATTGTGGGCAGCTAAGGGAGAGACAGGGAGGTGAACTGCCTCACTGGGGGTTCAGCACGGGCCTGAGGTTTCAGTGGGCTGGGGGAGGTGGGAGGAGAAGGGGATCGCTGTGCTCCAGAGACAGAAAAACATCTCAGTATTTTAATCGACAGGCAGAAAAACAAGTAAAGAGGAAATTAAATTTCCATAAGGCCTTCTCTCCATCCCCATCGTGAGGCATCACACCCGCCAGCAGCTGGCCAACAGGGAACATTTGCCCTTGGCCTTCTCTTGCCACACACCCACCTCACGTAGCTGCACCCACAGCCCACTTCCCTCTGCACCAGCTCTTGTTCCCTGCCTCTCCCGAGGACCCAAGCAAGCTATTTGCCCTCAGTCAACTCGTGTTTATGGGTTCTGATACAAAAGACAAGTGTTCATATGGCATACCGTATCTAGGAAAATGTCATGCTTCATACATTCAGTTATCAACCACTATGCCAAGTGCTTTATGTTATCTACAAAAAGCAGACTTCAGAGGGAAATGAACTACAGCAAATCAAAGTCTACTACTAGGAAAGAGAGGGGAGTTGTAAGCCAGGCTTGCAGTGCTCTTCCAGCTGCATAACTTGCTAAATAACTTTACCCAGCGGAAGAGTCAATAAATGGTCGCCCAGTCGCAATCACAAATAACCACTCACCTGCTGTTACCTGGAAAGGTTTTTCTCAGCCACTGAGACACAATGTCCCGGGCACAACCGCGGCAGACAGCAGCAAGCCAGTTAAGAGACAGCAGCAAGAAGGGTAAAAAATCACTCCCACAGCAGCTGGAAGGGAAGTGAGGAGAAAGTCCCACTCATCCCACTCAAATACCTCCAGATGCTGCTTCCCCCAAACTGGACAGCAGAGTAGTACTCAGGCTTGATTCTCCATGCACACGGAGCTGAGCACTGATGCAAGTGCAACAAATTCATCACACCTCACTGTCCCATCTTTTCCCCGTCTTCCCTTGCTTGCACACACCTGGACTGAAGCACAAGGGCCAGCCTCCCTACCTGCAGAAACCCTCTGGCCTCTGCAGCCAGCCATGCAACAGGTTTGAGCCCTGCATGGGAGCAGAGGATGAGCAGCCCCGTTCACCTCTGCAGCAAGGGACACACCTGCCACCCAAAAAAATAACCCATAATTTTTGTCTTAAATATAAGACTTGCAAAGGGCTGCAGAATGGCTGTTTCACATAATTTATATTTTTTTCCTAATCTTGATGCTGAAAGGTTGAGAGGCACTGAATAAGAGACGGCTCTGAAATGTACCAGCTCTTCCGGATTTGGGGGAAAGGGCTGCGAAATTCAGAAATTAAACCTTGATCCAGGCTTTATAGAGGCTGCTTTACATTGTGAGACAAAAACGTGGCCTGGATACATTAAAATTTCAGTGGTTTGTCCTTTGGACTTGAATCTGTATTTGACAGTGTGAATGTATATGTATCAGCAGTTAAGGAAATTACCATAGGAAATTAAAGGCACTAACACACAAATCTGTGGCCAGTAAGAACAATAAAGAGGAACTGTTTAAATATACCAGGAACAAACAAAGTCCTAACAATGGGATAGCTCCAACACTAGATAGGAATCTCAAAATTGTCAGTCATGATTCATAAAAGCAGAAGCATTCAATAAATATTTCTGGTTTGTATTTGGAAAGTAGCAGGATGATGTATTCTTATCTCACGGTGATAAGGAAACACTTTCTATTCCATCAGTTACTCAGGAGAAAGTTAAACAGCAGCTATCAAAACTCAACATTTTTCAATCTGCAGCACTTGGTAAGCTGCACCCCAGCATATTAAAGAAATATGCCAAGGAGTTCTCCAGAAAAATTCATGCTGATTTTTAACACATCCTGGACCACTTCCAGAAGACGGCAAAAGCTCACGAGGAGTCACTGTTTACAGAGGGCAAAGCAAGGAGCTGGGCAATGACAGGTTGGTGAGCCCACCGCTGACCGAGGAATCAAGTGGATTGATGGGAAGGGTTAACAAGGTAGCAGGCTTTCCAAGACTAATACTACCCTGTGCAGCTCCTGGCCTGCATATCACATGGCTCAGCAAGTGCCCTCTGCCCCACGGCTCATTTGCATTGCAGCTTCATCCCACACCGACAAGCTCACATGGGTCAGAGTTGAAAAAGGCTCAAAAGACGGCAGCGTAATTAATAGTCATCAACACGGCTTCGTGGAACAGTCTTGTCAAATGAGCTCAGTGTGGCTTTTTAGTGAAATTACAAGTTGAGCTGATAAAGGTAGCTGTGTCTTCGTTGTGTGTTTCAACATCTGTGAGGCATTTAACTCAGTCCCACGCGGCACTCTGATTAAAATAATTAGCGCTACCCAGAACGAATGTACCTCATACTAAATCGATTAAAAGATGGTGAGCCAACAGAGCTCAAAAAGGCAATCCTAACTGAATCATCCCCATCTTCGGAAGATGTCTAATGGGATCCCACAGAAGACTTGTCTTAGCCCAGTGCTGCTCACTAACCTTAGCAATTATCTGGAGAAAATAAAAGAAAAAAAATTGTTTCCATTAAAGCTGATTGAAAAAACATACTGTAGTGGTAAATAATAGAGGTACAAATAGTTATACTGGCAGATCCGCATCACTGGGTCAAGTGGATTCTTTGGAACATGAGTTTTAATAAGCCAAACGCATCAGGTACAAAAGAGCTCCAGTGTTTTTTTATGGGTTGCATTATGCAGGAGATCAGACCAGAGGATTGCAACAACCCTTCCCATCCTTAAAACCTAAAACTCCCTCAAGACATGCCAGGAGCCCCACAGCAGACACAGAAAGATCTAACAGGCATTCTGTAGAATTCAGTTGGACAAATAAAGCTTTTTTTTTCCTAGCTGCATCCTCTAAAGTAACCAGGAGAAGAGCAGGCAACGATGAATGTTAAAAACATCATATTCACAACTCTAAGATGGTGAGACAAACTTTCTGTGCATCCTCAACAGATCACTGGGATTGACAGGCTCTACCAAAGGGTGCTTCAGAAAAAGAACTCAACCCCCATCCCCGGCTGCCATCATTAGGTTTCAGAATAAATGCTGAATGAAAGGGAAAGGATGGAAGCAATCCCTCCTACTCTTTGAATGGCAGGAAGACATTTCTGCTTCGCATTTCACGTGAGAGATTGCCATGAATGTTCAATCCCTCAGAAGGTCAGTGCTGAACTCGAGAACTTGAGCATGACTTCTTTTTCCTCTTGATTTTCCATGTTGTCTGCCTCAGACTTTGACTTAAGCGCTCCTGCTTCCAGGCATGCAGTCAGCCTGCAGAGTAGAAGGGGATATAGTCATGACCATGGCCTGATCCATGCTCTTATCCGTGCCCTCCTTGCTCTTATTAACAGGGGAAGCAGCTACCAAGTGTGTGTGTCAGGTCTTAGCAAAGAGCATGCAAGGAGGCACAGGAAGTTTCACACTGCCCAGCATAAGGATCTATTACTTGCTGACTCATAAACCTCATAAAGGTTTAAAGTCCTTTTTACTTTAGAAGAAAACTAAAAGAAGAAGCCGCCTCTGGGCAAGGCTTTGAGCTCTTCTCCTTCCACTGTTTCAAAGCCATTTTGTTCAGTAGGCTGGAGCCCACAGCCCAGGGAGCTGATTTCTGCCCCATCAAACAACCCTCTCATTTGGGACGGACTGGGGCTTTCTGGGGAAGGGAGCCATCGTCCAGGGAAGCCCATCAAAGAGAAAATGCTCACTTCCCAGCCTCAAACTCCAAAACCTTGATTTCTCCCAGAGCAGATGCTTCCCAAAATAGCCCCAAGAATAAACCTAGAACATGATCCTAGAGGAGTAACAAGAGCAAGGGACGCATCCTTCAGCACCAACCCTCTGTGGAAGCTGCTGGGCAGTTTCTGCACCCTGCTGCAGCAGCAGGAACACCTCCAAGCTGAGTTCACCATGTGCATTGCACTCCAGTCTCCATCACCTCCACCACAGCACAGAGAAGTAGCGATTTTCCAAAAGGCTTACAGAGAAGAGTTACCATCCTATAAAATACCAAAGAGCTGCTTTAACATCTCTGTGGAACAACTCACCAAGGGAGGGAAGAAGGATACCGAGTGCTGGGCTCCTTGTGCTGACAAAATGAGTTATAACTGTTGTGAGAAACTACTTCGTGCTTGTCAAGCCTCAGCCATAACACTGCAACAAGGCAAGAAATTAAAATGAATAACTCATAAAAAGAAATCAAAAGAAATAAAATGAATAACGCATTATAAACAGGAGGCATATTTCTTAGAGCGACATTTTTTTAATTGTCATTACACAAGGTGCAAAGAAATCTTGTGTTTAAATCTTGCATTTAAAATCTTGTATTGTAATGCCTATATCCAAGAAATAACGCGGTTTCAGGCTCAGAAAGCTCACCAGTGCCTGCATGCCTGGCGGAGCTGACTAAAAGACCAGTAGCAGCTGGCAGGAAATGGGTAAGAAAGCTGACCACAGATAAACTGTAGGATGCTAAAGAGTAGCAGAAGATATACTCTGGGAGAGGAAGCCGAGCTGTCAGGTCACACTGTAGTCTAGTGCATACAGTACATACAGTCCGCTATTGAAGTATGTGGCCACCAGATAATGGTCAGGGGACACAGCTGTCAGTCGGCGATGAAGTAACTCCAAGGAGCCTGCAGCAGTGTGGTACAGCTGCGGATGTTTCTGTTCGGCAGGATAAAGCCTGCCTGTCTCAAGGGTACTGTAGCAAATTCAGCCTCATGTGAGCAGCACTAAATAACGAGGTTCACAACGCTCGATTTAAATCAGCATGGATCAAAACAGGATACTCACTGCGTAGCCTAAATAAAACTGAATTTGCACACGCTCGTTTTGCAGGTAATGCTGCCAGAGGCTTCAGCAAGCGTTTTTCTTTGTGCCGCAGAGTTAGGAAATCCACAGCTCGGCAGAGTCGATGAATTCACTGTCGACTTCAGTGGGAACAGGGCAGGGCCTCAGGTATCGTTTAACATTGAAACACTTTGCCTGGGCTGCATGCTAGTGTGTCCGCTGCGGAGATATTGAGCTTTCCTCATTATATGGGGAAGATAATTATGGGTCATTAACCTGCTGGGTGGCAAGCAGTACAGCATGCTAAGTGCATCCAGGAGAAGCGTGACGACAGCAGCAGTCCAAAGGAGAGGGCACGTTTTGCCAGTTTTGCCAAATGAGTGGATGACCAGAAAGCTGCTGCTAGAACACAGAGGGAACAAAGAGCACAAGATTAAAATATACTAAATAATGGCTTATAAACACAGGCCTTTAGTCACAGAGCTCTGCGGGAGGCTATTTTAGACAATTCATTGGATGAAACCTTATTTGAGGTTCGGGAGACCTTCATGTGAAGGAAGAGCCTCATCCAGACTTACAGACATGTGTTTAACAACATTTGCCTGATGACCCTGATGGGAGGCACTGGCTTTCAGACCACTCCAGGAGGGGCCCACTCTCATCCTCATCCTCCAAGGAAAAAAGGAGCCCTGCTCATGCCAAGTATCATTTCAGCATGAGGGAGAGCCACAGATGCACTGATGTGACATCGCTTCAGTTTTGGTTTGTTTTTCTGATTTTTCTTTTTTTTCTTTTTTTTTCTTTTTTTTTTTTTTTAAATTCCAAGCTGGGTCCTCTAACTCATGGAAACAACAAGGCTTTGCACCTGGGAAGGCCGTTGTGCCTTTCCCTCCGACACGCAGGATATCAGGGTTAGCTAAATATGAGTTCAGCTGCGGGACTGACTCACCGCTTGTTCCTGGAACCGCCTGAAGGAGGGGAGGATGCTGTGGGCAGGCTCTAACTGTATCATCTGGGTTAGGGCCGGTAGCAGATGGTCCTGAAAACATACTTCCATGTGGGTTTAAAATAGCACAGCACCCACAATCAGCTGAATGGGGAAATGTGAAAAAGCCTGTCACACAAGGAATGCTGCTGTGAAGATCTGCAGTCAGGAGGGGGTCCGAGGCTTCATCAGCCCTCGCAGCGTGGAAGTGCCTGATGCTCCTCGCTCACATCAGACTTTGCTGCCCAGTGATCCCACCAGCCCTGTCAAGAGCATTCTGGCCTTTGTATCACATTTCGTGTAAGAGAACGATCTTTTTTTTTTTTCCATGCTGTAAAGTGAAATGAGGAAACTTTTTCTGAGAGCGGCTTTTCTAGTTCAACAGCACTCCCTGTCCACTGTGGTGCAAAAGCCTGAGCCTGAAAAGCTGCATTTAAAAAAAATGATCTCTTCTCCTCCATGAGTCACCTGCTGTACGTGTTCGCCAGCAGTAGTGGCAGCCTTAAATAGCCTGAGTCTACGGTTACATCCCGCGGCTGCCTTGATGCCACACACGGAGCAGGAGAGGCGGTGACAGCAGAGGATGGACAGCCTGCCCCGAGGCACTACGAGGCCAGCTTCCCCAAGGAGTGACAGCTAGCTTCACCTCATAGATGCTCATCCCCAGCGGCCCTCTCAACAGCCAGCACGGAGATCCCTTCCCCACGCACACCAGGGAACCCTGCTGGGATGTATTTTCGCTTCTCAAGGCTTAGGTTGACCCCCAAAGCTCCCAGCAGTGAGGGGAGTATGTCAAAGTGAAAAACACAGGGCTACATCACTTTCTGTGCCTGGTTTCCCTAGGCTGGTAGGTATAGGGATGGGGGAACAAAAAGAGCACCTTGCCATTCCTCTTATCCTCTGTGCTGCAAGGGTTGTTACTGAACAAAACCTGTTTCCTCCTTCAGTAGATGCACAAATGCATCAGCAAAGGTTTCTTGCTCCTTCCCCTCTCCCCCTCCTCCTGCCTTTCTGCCATGCAAGCACCAAGCGTGATCTAGGCGGTAACCTTTAGAGGAAGAGAAATATCACAGGCACATCTGTTTTTACAGCTAATTGGCCACAGTTTTTGAAATGGGCAGAAGTGGCTCAGATGAACAAAAGAAATCCCTGAGAAGCCCTGGCCCCAGGGGAGGCCTGGCTCTAGCTCATGGTGGAGTCGGTGGCAAAGGGCCCGCTGATGCCAGACGGACACGTCGGGGTTAGCTGGAGACTGCACCACCCGACGGTGCAAGTGGGTCCAGCCCCATTTGCTCCGCTGGAATTGCGTGTGACTGCGCAACAGCAAATTTGGGCCTCTGCTGAAGGCATGTTTAGAAAGCACAGCTTTTTCTAGGTCTTTAAAAGCAAACATGGGATATCTACATCTTGCACTTTGTTTTCAGAATCTGCCGTAAACTGTTTTAATGCTGCAAGAAAGCATTTCAGAGCACATTTTAAAAAACAATTTTCTGCGTTTGGCTTGACTGGGTTTTTTATCAGCACAAAACCATCAGTATAGCACCGGCTTGTTATGCACTTACTGCCAATACAATAACAGCTATAACTAGAGATGCTTTAGATGGAGATTAGTTATTACTGCCTCGTTTGGGCAGAGTGGGCTGAGGGAAGAAAAGATTGTCACGGTGTCTCTGTAGCCCTCAGTCATAACCGTTCCAGAAAGTATTAAGCTTCCTGCTTGCACTTGTAGTACTTATCCCACATATCCCCCAACTGCATCAGGAGACAGTCTCCAAAATCTAGCCTCAGAGGTTTTAAGAGATAGGAAAGCTATCTGAGTTTATACAGGGCTGTGATTTCCACCCATTTTTTTCACGTTTTGGTTCTACCTAGCTGCAGGAAGGGAGCTTCCCTCCGCTGTCACCACTTGCTGATCTCCCTGGACAAATCTGTGCAGGGCCAGTTACTGTTCCTCTGTGCAAACAGCAGTTGCACAAATTGGGCAAGGCACTTTCTAGATGCAGAGGAAGGCACAAAGGTACAATCTTAAAAGATCTGAATAGCACTTCTGTTTCTGCTTTCAAGTATGCAGAGAAGAAAGTCTCCTAAAATAATCTCTTTCCTTGTTGCCTGTGCAAACTATATTCCCCTTTAGTGGGAAATGATCACCTCCCCAGGACCCGAATCACTTTTACTGCCTCTCTCTCATCTCACTCCAATAATTCAACATACAATAGCGAAATACCAAGTCTAACGTATGGCACAATCTGGGTACACAATATTTTGCAATAAATGTAAATTTGATATATATATATATAAACAGAAAGAGCCTGACTGTGAGAAAGAACCACCCTACCTACTTCCCATTCGTGTTATGCAAACATTTTTTACATGTGTCTTTGCTCACTGAATGCAAACAGTGGGTATGTGCATAGCCATGCCCGCAAAGCACACATTCTTCATTAAAATCCATGCAATAAATTTGTATCTGATTGACTTTTAAACACTTCACCTTCCCACAGCTCCATCTTCATCAGACTTAGTGATCCAAATCCTGTTCTTCTTCAGGCAGCCTGTCACAGTCAGGGTCTTTTGTCTCCATTAGTGGAGAGCCTCCTCCTCTCCCCATGGGCATTACTGGCCTGAACCCCAGAATTAGTCACATCCAGTCTTGCACCACTGGCAAAACGGAGCTTGGTGTTATGCAAAGGGAATATACAGCTCTTTCCAGCAAGGTGCTACTTTTTTTTTTTTTTTTTCTTCTGGAAAATCAAGGCACATGAGGACGTTAACATGCCTCATTTTCACATGAGGGAAAGTTTTTCTCAGGTTATTTTTAGAAAGATTTATTGGTTTTAATTTTGGTAGTCAGATCCTAAAAAAAGGAAGCGTGGCACATGGCCTCTTAAAGAGTTGCAAAACCCACTCTCAATAAAATTTAATATGCCCTGCATTAGCTTTTCTTTAATGCACACTGTGTGGAGTGCAGCAGTATAACATTTTTAGCATCAATCATTTCGGCACACTCCTGAGTAATGCAACTACCTCACACCTCTGCAGATAGGACGTTTATTCTACAGTACCCCTTCTTTTCTGTGTGCTATGTGCATGAGTGCATGTCCACAAACACGTGTATCCCTGCCAGCTTTTTCTTGCTCTTGGAGGTTACTCACCAGTGCAAGAGTCACTAGCAGCACAGAGATCAAGGGAACTGTGCTGACACAGACTTGCTCTAACAGAGCAGACTTTCCCCCCAGAAAAAAAAAACAAGAGCTCTGAGTACGTGTTGGTTTGTAACCTGGATGCGCACGTCTGTGTGTGTGCCTATATATGTAAATTTCTTGTCCACCAATTCCTGATGGAACGAGGGTGGCCAAATCTGCTGCTGCAGTAAATTGATGGAGTCCTGTGCAATTTGACAGAGCTATAACAGGTTACACCAGCTGAATGGTTGGCTCAGATGCTCCGGAAAGCTGCTCCAGGAAAGAATTTTGCTGCCATTTCTATTATGTGAAAGCAGAGCTGCTATAGATTCTATTATTTATTGCATATTTCATGCCACTGGTGCAATCAGGAGTGAAGTATAGAATGAAGAGGAAAGGGACTCCCTGGGTCACCAAATCCAGTCCCTCCAAGATCACATCAACAGATGTTTTGCTGAGAACAGCTTCTGAACGCTTTCTCCATAGTGCACAAAGACACACTACAGCACAGACCACAAAACGTTTCTATCAACCTGAGAACAAACTAAAACTCCTAGGATACAAAAACAAAATAGTTAAAAACCAAAGCATACCACAAGAAGAGTGAGAGATCAAAGCATCACCAGTATCATAGGTCCCAGCAGTACCACGGAATTTGCTCCTACCCCCTAAAAGAGAGTCCATTCAGGTGCCACCATATATCCTGGGTGCCAGAGGAGCCATCTGGAGTTTTGGCTTCCTGAAGTTAAAATATGCGCAGCAGATTATTTATCCAAGTAGATACTGACTGCTAACATTTTGGCTAACAATGCAGACCTCCGTGAACTGCATGCTCAAGTTTCTACAGCACAGGTTAAATACAAAAACTGTACAGAAAAGGACTTTTAAGAAGAAGCTCCTGTTAATCAGCCTGTCACTGCAAAACTATATAAATAAGCCCATATTGCCCCACAGGTAAGATTATAAAAGTGGCAATGTGAAAAGTACTACTGATTTAAAGCAAGTATCCCCACTTCCCTAAAGCTAGTTTTACTTTAGGGATAGTATCTCATATAACACAGAGATCATAACATTTGGGTTTTCAGTAGACACAGTCAGATCAGTGCAGCTTTGAACCTTCCTCCTCTGGGGGACATTTACTGTGCTTTTCAAAGGAACAGGTGGATTTGAAAGCAGAATTAGCTTCATATTTAATCATTCAGGGTTATCACCTAAGACCAATTTTCAAACAATTGGATGTGAATTGGCCACAGGACATGGTTAAAAGGAAGTTCATACAAAATAGAGCACGTGAAAACTGGAGCCAAAATACATATGGCCTAATTTAAAAACAGGATTAAAGGAAATTCACAAAGTGATTTTGCTGCCAGATTTAATTAGTATGTTTAATATGTGAGATCACCTGAATCTACTTTTACTTGTTTTGTGTCCCATTAAGAGTTTCACAGGAGCAGTAATATGATTGAGTGGCCCTTGTGAGGGATGCAGCTTAGGCTGCTTTGAAACAAATTGAATTAATTTAAAATGATTCTTTCCAGGTATGACATTCTTGGAAACAGATGTGGGGACAAAGAGGGAGGGCATCAGAAGCATAGATGCATAGACATAATAACAATACCCATGTTTTTTGTATATACAGAGGCACCTTTTTTAATATCTACAGAAATATTTTAACTGTAGAAAGCCTATTCTCATAAGATTATTAAAAAGCTTATTCTCATAGGATTGCAACCAATGTTACCTGTTAGAATCACATTAGCATTTGAGATACTGCAGAGGCAAGGGTCCTCATACAAATTTTCCATCTCTACAAGTTCCCTAAGATGTGATAGTTGTGGGGATTGGGTCCTGGGGTTTCTTTTGGAAAATGTTAGAGGGGAAATTTGCACCCAAAGGCTTTGCATGGGTGAGACAGGGTAAGACTCCAGGTCTCTGGCTGAGTTAGATCCATGGTGGAGGAAACGGGGCCTTATTTTCAGTGACATTCACAGCTTTCCACTTGATTTCACTACCGTTGATTGATTTACATGGATCTCTCTCAGATTCTGCCCTGCTGAGCAGCAGTGTAAACCCCTAAATTGGATAGATGGAGCAGATTTTATACTATTTCCCAAACAAATGGTATGATAAATGGTTTAAATAGTACAGTTTCATACCTAAATTACAAAACAGCAGCAGAGAAGACAGAGACAAAAGCAGAAAGAATAGTATCTGGAAGAAAAAAGAAAAAAAAAAAAGTTCTAAGACTGATTTCTGGACACTCAAATCACCTAAAACCTGCACCTAACTCTGCAAGCTACAAGTGCATGGCAGTCCTGAAAACAAACCCATGCATGTGCATTCTGATTTTAACCTGCAAAAATATTTCAAAATCCAAGCCGTGATCTGGCGAGACACTGAATGTTTTCTCTTTTCATCAGACAAGCCTACAAAGAGATACTGAAGTGTTTGTACTGTAGAAGCCAGAGTTCAGCCACAAAGGCTAATTTATGAAGCCAAAAAGCAATTGCCCTGCAGACGTTCCCACTGCCTTCGGCAGAACCTCAGTGGAGACTGAGGGCGCTTGTCACTTCACAGGGGGTGCTCTCAGCGTCTTGCAGGATCACGTTGGGTTTACATATGGATGAACTGAATATTTTTTTGCTACAAACACTCTTCCCCTTCCAGGCCTCCTTTGCTTTCAGTTCTGAAGGGTGAATTCATTGAAAACATCTGCACTACGAGAAATGTTCTGTGCTTTTTCCAAACCTCATCCCCGTGGTGGCTATGTAGTAACAGAGGATAGACAGAGCTGCATAATGCAAGCCCGCAAGAAAGAAACAGCAGCAGAGAGGGGATGTTGAATGCTGGAACCTCACCTTATGGACCTAGATCCTACCTGGGCTTCGCTTACCTTCTGCGCTGGGTTCTGCTCTGCACTACACAGCCAAAAGGTTTCCACAGCAACTGCCACATCACATCATATTGCTTGTACCTCGGAGATACACAACACCTCTGAAGTGAATTTTGCTCAGCGGCCTGTCATGTTAACTTTTGTACATCTTCGAGCTGTTGCACGCTCCCCTTGGTACCAAGGCCAGTCCTGGAACTGTTTTCTGGGGATCTTACATAATGTGTATTTCTCCTCCTTTTGTCCTTTTTCTGCCTTTTCAGATGCAGACTTGCAGCTGCAAGGGAAGGAAAGCGCCCTGTGACCATGTCACAACAGCATGGCAAAGGCACAGAGGGGGCTTATCCTGTGTCACCCTCAAGCAGCCGAGATGTACCTGGGTGAGGACTGAGAGACAATGTTTATGGTAGCAAACCTCAGTGAGCCGCATGAATTCTTCACACGCAAAAAGGGGGAAGATTTATTTTTGTTTGGGGAACAAGGGGCACAGACCAGCCCCCAGCAGGCCCACCAGGAAGGCATGTGTAAGGGCTTGTGTGGCCATCTGTTTCTCCTCTGTACTGGCGCTCTGGTGCCAGCTGCCTCTGCAGCTCAGCCGTCCCACGTGCGGGCTCCCCTGCCCGGCCCTGTGCTGCCGTCCGTCTGCTCCTCGCTAATCCCACATCACCGTATGTCCCTGCTGTCCACCAACCCTATATACCTGCCCTAAACCCTATATAAGTCACAGGAGGGGACGCTGGACGTCTCCTCGATGGCGTCAGAGCTGCTTGTGGAGCACCTGAAGCACACAAGCAGATCTCATGCTCACTTCACCCTGACACCCCAAACCTCCCTTTACTGTAACGCCACAAAAACACATTCCCAGCCCAAAAACAACGTGGGGCAGGCAGATAGGCAGGCTCGAAAGCTGCAGCCACCTGGGAGACGTGTGGGGTGACGCAATGCAGCAGGGGCAGTTGCCAAAGTCGTTCTGACAGCAGAGGCCCGGGGCAGGCAGGGCGCCGGCGGCGGGGGCGCCGCGGAGGGGAGCGGGCCCGGGGCCTCCATCTGCGGGGAGGTGTGAAAACAGGCAGGGCTGCGGCCAAGCTCCCTTTGGGGTGTCTCGCAGCGCTGGCAGCCGTGGCTCGCCGCTTAAGCCCTGTGCTCAGAGACCATGAACAACTGGGATTGAAAAAATATGTATAACCTGGCTGGAGGACAGCTGGGGGGAGGGAAGGGAGAAGCAGCGGTAGGCTGAGTATCTGAAGGATGCTGACCCTACTATGAGGGTGAAAAATCACCTAGGATGTTAAGTCGTGTGTTAGCGTTCCCTGGATGTACTGCTGGATGATATTAAGAGCAGGACAATGAAACCCAGCTAGCTGGGAGAACCGGCTGGCAGACTGGCTCTTACTCCAGTACCTCCATAAGGAGGGTAGCAGGGTTGATCCCATGGCTCACCCAAAAAGCAGCAGCCAGGCCTGGCCTCCGCAGGTCACTTGCCAAAGTGAAGTTGATCCACCAGTATCCTTACAGTAAGCCCAGGAGCCACAACGATGGATCAAGCGTGGATACAACTCAGAACAAAACAATGATGCCTCTCCCCTAAGAAATTACAATCGATCTGAGTGTAAGAGAAGTAACAACAATCGGAGGTAGACTCTCCACCAGGGATTTAGGAGTTTACAGTGACTTGCCACAGCGCTTCCACTAGCTCTTCTGCCTGCTCTTTAGCTTTAATGCTTTCCAGCCAACAAATTAGTCTGTACAAAAACCAATATTGAATGCAATTTTCACTTTAACCTACATGTTGAACTCCAATGTCTTCAGTGAACCTAAGGTTAGAGATGGACTGATGCACTTTTCAGGATGGGCTGACAAACTTAAATGTAGCCGAGATTATTATGGACTAAAATCCATAATAATAACTTCATAATTTAACTGTTTGTCTGCCAAATGTACTGCACAAAGGCTAGCTCCTACCTGTGCCCTGGTATTGCTACCTCTACAGCAGGCTGTGACTTTGTGACCAACCTCCATAGCAAATCCAAAGCCTAAGCAGGACTGGCAAGTGAACTGCAGGACCCTGTTAGAAGCCCTCTCATTCTGGTGTTGTAGGATCTGGCAAGGCAACACCTTGGGGGAGGAAAAGATCACACCACTACTGCCAATACTGGCTTCCAAAACAGAGAGCTTCTGTTTCCTAGCATGTCAACTGATGCAACTATTACAAACTTTTGTCTACCTGTTGGAGAAGAGTCAGGTAGTCTGTACAAGTTAATTCTCATTTTAGCTCTTTTTTATTAATATATATGTGGTAATTTATGTTACAAAACAACAAAAAATATTTAAGAAGAGGGTTTATATTAAGAAGAGGGAAGGGAAGGGAAGGGAAGGGAAGGGAAGGGAAGGGAAGGGAAGGGAAGGGAAGGGAAGGGAAGGGAAGGGAAGGGAAGGGAAGGGAAGGGAAGGGAAGGGAAGGGAAGGGAAGGGAAGGGAAGGGAAGGGAAGGGAAGGGAAGGGAAGGGAAGGGAAGGGAAGGGAAGGGAAGGGAAGGGAAGGGAAGGGAAGGGAAGGGAAGGGAAGGGAAGGAAGGGAAGGGAAGGGAAGGGAAGGGAAGGGAAGGGAAGGGAAGGAAGGGAAGGGAAGGGAAGGGAAGGGAAGGGAAGGGAAGGGAAGGGAAGGGAAGGGAAGGGAAGGGAAGGGAAGGCTACACAAGCCTACCAGAGTAACTCAGGATTTCACTGAGACTAAGCACTACAAGTATGAATTATTTGAAATGTACTGGCTAACACTTCCTGACCAAACACCCTGAACAACGTACAATTTGAGTTTGAGTGAGGTATGAATTCACTCTGGATCCAGCCCCATGAGGGTCAATCTTATGTCATAAAGTACAAAGCATAACTTTGAGATTAAAGAAAACTGAAAATAAATCCTTGTTCTGCTTTGGTAATTTTCATTTACAGAGTTGCAAAGCACAAATATTTATAAACAATACTCTTACAGGACTTGAAGGGTATTCTTCCTATTTGAACAATTACTGTTTAAAGAAATTCTGACCTCACTTAAAATGAGATGGAGCATGTGAGCATGCAGAGCTTTGTTGGAGAAAATAAATACTATTAAAAGTAAAATTAGCTTTGGAAAACCTCAGGCAATAACCCCAACCAATCAGCCTGGCAGGCTTAAACGCAGATATGCAAGAAAGGCTCAGATAATGC